TTGGATGTGGGTAATGGCATACCGGCATCGTTGACTTGTATACCCAGATCGGAGTAGGCCCGTTGGCTGTGTAACAGGAGCAGCAGAGAGGCGGTTAAGTGGTGACTGCGCATGGTGAAATGGGAGTCTGACGGAGGACCATCCAGCTATGTTGGAGAGTACAACCAGACCGACAGGAAAAGCAGCCGAAGTGATAGAAACGACCAGGCAGCCATAATGAATTAATGGTGGAATTTTTCAGGGGGTCAGACTGAGACGCCAAGGGAGGCAAAGACCCTTGGCACGCCTGGCCAAGAGCGACATTTTGGGCGGAAACGAAGACAAGCTGTTGGGATGCTATATTTGGGACAAAGGAGTGTCGCGGTTGGCTGGGATGAGATCTTGAGGGATGGCCGGAATAGCGGACAATATCTGGATAAAGATGGACGAGAAGATACTGATGATGGAAGTGATGATGAGCATTCAGGGTCTCAAGAACAGGACCCTTTTTTCCCCGGATTCCGCATAACAACACCTCTTATGATCGCCGCCTGACAGCCCTAAACGGGTTATTCTTAGCGCGCGCGAACCGTTCCCCAATTGGAACTGAAACAGAGACTCGCCGTCCTGACACTTGACACTTGATCAGAGCTCCTTTACGAGGAACTGTGGTTCGCTGTCTGACCAGCAGTTCTAATTAGAGAAACACTAAGCTAGTCACCATATTGCATACTGACAGTCCAGATGCCCATTCCTGGTCCCCATGCAAACCCGGCCATGCGCTCGGATGTCGTGGCGTCTTAGTTTTCAATACTCACGAAAACGGTTACCCACTCACAATGACCACATCAATAATGGCGTTTTTATTGCAAGATTATCTTTCGGAGAATAATCCCTCCCCAAAAAGCAAAAACAATCAGCAAAAGTATATCCGACCGAAACGCGATTCGAACGCGCAACCTTTTGTGCCGAAAACAAACGCGCTACCATTGCGCCATTCGGCCAGTATTTCTGACTAACAATGTCCGACTAGCCTTGTTGTGTACTCCAAATGAAAGACTATCGGCCGATGTCCTATTTAGGTAATATTGGATGCACGTGACATCGCGTTTCTGCGCATCCGAAACCTGCTTCACTTCGAATATTGATATGAGAACGCGCACCCACCGCATCCACAATGTGGCGTCAGTATGGCCGGTTCGAAAGCACAAGCGGACAATGCAGATACCTCATCGGGCCGGAAACGAGCCCAAGATGAGCCAGAGCCAGAGCAAGATGTCCCCGAGCATGCCGACCCCGTATCCAACAGCGCGTCGACAGACCCAGCGCCAAAGAAAAGGCAACGTCGCAAGCCCCCTCCGAAGTCACCGGCAGAGACGCCGGAGAAAGAAGACAGCACAAGTGCCAGCTCAATTGCAGAGAAACCTTCCAAGGGAAAACGCAAACCCGCTCAACTAAAGCGAACTCCGTCCGCCCCATGGCCGGAGGCATTCAAGAGCCTCGCCCGGACACACCGCGCCCTGAACCTCGTGTACACCTTCTGCTGCACGCGAAACCACTTTGCCACCACTTTCGACAACATCAGGAATGCGGTTCAGGCGCAAATGCAAGGCCAGGAGCTGACCGTGGAGGATGTTGCGCGGGTGAAAGTTCTCGTGCCGCGCGCGGTGCGCTTCGAGTATGTCGATGAAGCCAAGCTGGAGGTCATGACGACTGGAGAACGCGAAGGGACACAACTAGGCTATGGAAGGGATGCACTCGGTGATGCGGGAATGCCCACGACAAAGACACTTCTCTTCGAGCTGCTGGACGGAGATCTGAAGAGACAAGTGAGGCATCCGCAGACCGGGGAGCCAACCAAGCCCGTGCGGCGCATGAAGAACGAGGATCTGAAGATGCCGGTGTACAGCCAGAAGCAAATGCTAGACTTGATCGAGAAGCGAAACAAGAAATTCACCGATGCAATCGACGCCTTTCTCGTCCAGTGCGAAGACGAAGCCGTCGACCCAGTCCAGAAACTGGAGACGGAAAAGCACGCCTGGATTCCTCATCCGCCGGATGACGATACCCCCATCACTGCACCCTCCACTCTCCCACAGCAAATCCCCAAAGAACGCAAATCCATGTCAGAGATCGTGGAAGAGATTCGCCAAATGGACTGGTATACAGCACAAATCGTCCCCGAAGGCCACCGAGTCTTCGACCCCCAGCCCGCCATCTACGGCGACCTCACCTTTCCACTCTCCCAGAACCTCGTCAACGCCCTATACAATACTAAGAACATCACTCAATTCTACTCCCACCAAGCCGAAGCTATCAACCACCTCCACGCCGGCCACCACGTCATCGTATCCACCTCCACCAGCTCCGGCAAATCCCTCATCTACCAAGTCCCCATGCTACACGAACTGGAACACAACCCCTCCACCCGCGGCCTATACATCTTCCCAACCAAAGCCCTAGCCCAAGATCAACGCCGCAGCATGCAAGAGCTCCTCCAATTTATAGACGGCCTACAAGGCACCCTCGTTGAGACCTTCGACGGCGACACACCCATGTCCAACCGCAACCTCATCCGCGACGAAGCCCGCATCATCTTCACCAACCCGGATATGCTCCACATCACCATCCTCCCCCAAGAAGCCGCCTGGCGGACCTTCCTCCAGAACCTCAAATTCGTCGTCGTCGACGAACTCCACGTCTACAACGGCCTCTTCGGCACCCACGTCGCCTTCATCATGCGTCGTCTCCGCCGCATCTGCGCCGCCGTCGGCAACCACTCCGTCCAATTCATCTCCTGCTCCGCCACCGTCGCCAACCCCTCCCAACACATGCACGCCATCTTCGGCGTCGACCCCCACTCCATCCACCTCATCGACTCCGACGGCTCCCCCTCCGGCCGCAAGGAATTCCTCTGCTGGAACACCCCCTACAAAGACCCCAACGACCCCTCCTCCGGCCGCGCCGACAGCGTCTCCGAAACAGCCCGTCTCTTCTCCCAACTCATCCTCCGCGGCGCCCGCGTCATCGCCTTCTGCCGCATCCGCAAGCTCTGCGAAGTCCTCCTCCAAGCCGTGCGCACCGAACTCGCCGCCCTCGACCGTCCCGAAATCGCCAACATGGTCATGGGCTACCGCGGCGGCTACAGCCCACAAGACCGCCGCAATATCGAAAAGGACATGTTCGAGGGCCGTCTCCTCGGCATCGTAGCCACCAACGCCCTCGAACTAGGCGTCGACATCGGCTCCCTCGACGCAGTCATCACCCTAGGATTCCCCTACTCCATCTCCAACCTCCGCCAACAAAGCGGCCGCGCCGGCCGCCGGAACAAGGATTCACTCTCCATCCTAGTCGGAGACCGCTACGCCACAGACCAGCATTACATGCGCAACCCCGACGAACTGTTCACGAAACCAAACACAGAGCTGCAAATCGACCTGTCGAACGACCTCATCCTCGAAGCGCATCTCCAATGCGCCGCTTACGAAAAACCCCTCTCCCCTGCTATCGACGAAGTATACTTCGGTCCTCAACTCCACACCCTCCTCGAATCCCGCCTCCTCCAAGATAAATATATCCCCTCCCTCTACCACACCCACCCGCGCTTCCTTCCCAACCCGTCCCGCTCCATCGCCATCCGCGATACCGAGGACCAGCACTTCGCCGTCATAGACACGACGAACGCCCGCAACGCCGTCCTCGAAGAAGTCGAAGCCTCCCGCGCCTTCTTCACCATCTACGAGGGGGGTATTTTCCTCCACCAGGGGCAGACGTATCTTGTGCACGAACTCAACACATCGATGTACTTCGCCCGCGTCTCGCGCGTCCATGTGGATTATACCACCCAGCAACGCGATTACACCGACATTGACCCCATCGAGACGGAGAATATTCGTCTTCTCTCTACACCTACACCCTCACACACTACACCTTCATCCTCAAACTCAACCCCCACTCCACAACCCACTAATACCAACACCAATATCAACACAAATACAAACACAACAGTAACAGTAAGTAAAGCCTACTTCGGCTCGATCCTCGTCCACGCCGTAGTCTACGGATTCTTCAAAATCGACAAACGAGGACGCATCCTCGACGCCGTACCCGTGGACAACAACCCCCCGATCGACATTCACACGAAAGGAATGTGGATCGACATCCCCCCGCTAGCTCTGGAAATCCTCTCATCAAGAAACCTCAACATCGCAGCGGCGATACATGCAGCCGAGCACGCGATCTTGTCGCTATTACCTACTTTCGTGGTCTCTTCGCCAGGGGACGTGCGGACGGAATGTAAGGTTGCGAAGAAGGAGTTGGGGAGGAAGTTACAGATGGCTGTACAGGATGCAAAAGGGTCAGTGGGGATGGATAAGCAGAAGTTGCAGAAGATTCTGCATCCACCTGCGAGACAGAGGCCCGCGAGATTGACGTTTTATGATGCGAAGGGGGGAGCATGTGGGTCGGGGATTGCGGCGAAGGCGTTTGAGTTTGTGGATGTGTTGTTGGAACGGGCTGTGAGGCGGATTGAGGCGTGTGGGTGTGTGATGCCGCAGGGGTGTTTGGAGTGTTGTTGTGATGAGAGGTGTAAGGAGATGAATGAGGTGATGAGTAAGGCTGGGGCGGGGGTGGTGTTGAGGTGTTTGCTGGGGTGGGAGGTGGATGTGGATGCGTTGCCGTGGGGGGAGGAGATGGGGGTTGCGGATAATATTGGGGAGTTGAGGGGGGGATTGGAGACGGTGGTGCCTGCTGTTGAGGTGCCGGGGAGAGTTGGATTATCTAGAGGTCAGGCTGGTTCTGGTTCTTAGGACGGATGTGTATAGAGTGTGTTTATTGTTCTGTATGTGTGTAGACCGTATATTGGGTATCTAGCGCATGTATAAGATCCAATGGGTATGTAGGTATGTAGGTATGTCAATAAGTAGACAGATTCCTATCCAATGTCTTGCTCCAGGCCAATCCTCGTGTGGTATCCGGGTATCATTTCGTTCCAGTCTTGCATGTCACCTTGCGAGAGCAAACGAATGTGGGTTGGGTCATCAGACAACCAGTGATTATTCATTAAGGTGTAGCGGTGACCATGGCGTGACCGGGTGGAGGAGGGTAAGAATCATCGTTGGATTCGTTACTATGGAACTCGATGCTGTGCTTGGGTGTTTGTATGTACTCGTTCGTTATGCACAGTGAAACATGCTGCGTCTGTTGTGCAACCAGCTGCAGTGGTACAGCAGGCTATCATGATCGACCTTCCGTGTTCACCGATGCGGGACTCCCCTCGCTGGAGGGGTCGTCCAGGCTGATGTTCCAGAACAGCGTCTTCATATGGCTGACATCCTCGCGGAAGTTATCTCGAGGGTGGCTCGTGCGTTCTTCCGTCATCGCTCGCACCTCACGGATGATGCTCGGGTATCCTTCATCGTCTGGCAACCACCAGCGATTGACTTCGGGTTTTTGCCACGAGGCTGCCAGTGCCGCCCGGAATGTGGCTGCAACGACGTATCTAATCCAACACGGTTAGCTGATATCTAGTGTCGTCCTAATTGGCAATACTTACCCGCTTTGCTCCAGCTGAGCGAACTTCCTCCGCGCCCACATTATATACCGTTCGTCGCGCGGACAGAACATGGCAGCCATCCCGATGCTGTTCTTGAACGCCAAGATGCATCCGCTTTCCTTCATCGGCCATCGATCAACCGCCTCCATCAGCCGGACCAGCTCTACCGAGAGGGATTGCAGTTCTTCCACCGATGATTGCTTCACCGAAAGAAGTGACTGATACTTGTACATAGCCTTGGTGGAGTAGTAATCAACCCACGTCATGTTGACTTCCCACAATGGCCCGTGGTGCATGCCCCCAGGAACATACGGATCCACGACATCGTCCGAGGTCAAGGGGACGCGATTAGGGTACTCCTGCACGGTGTATTCAGAGTCGTTGAACGATTCCAGGATGGTCCGTACCCTTTCCAAGGTCTGTCCCAACAGTTCGTTCTGGACGATAAACTCATTCACAGGAATCAGTCCACGCGACAACTTCGCATACAGCGACGCCATTTCCAAGCCAAACCGGCGGTTGATCGAATTTGCCAACGCCAATTGCTTCGTGGCATCGTTTGGATGGCGGGCGGCCTCCTGAGCATCAAATTCCTCTTTCGCAATATACCAGTCACGACTTAGTATCGTCTCATTTCCGGCCAAGATCCCTGCTACCACGTCGAACCGGGCGTACCAGACGAAGATGTTGCTGTGAAGCTCGTTCAGGTTGGCAGACTCTGGCGTTAGAATCTCCCGCACCAAGGCATGAGCAGCCTGATGGTGGCCAATAAGGTTGACCCAGTCCCCGACAGATTCCTGGCGAGTCAGTATGGTTCTGAAAAGCACAAAAACAGGCTGAATGTCTTACCTCGAAAGTGGTGAGGACAAGCACCGTGATCAGGGTCGCCTCATTATGCGGCTCACCTGAGCCTAGGGACTTGCGCAGGAGCTTCAACGCGAAGTTGTAATATTTCAAGAAGGTGTAAAGCTTCCCACTGTTATTTTGAACACAGTGGTGATATGCAGAAAACCCCACAACGGCGTACAGCAGGGGATCATACTGCAACGCCAGCTCAATGATACTCTGATGAACAAACCGGTCATTGACCGGTTTTAAGAAATAATGACGGTAGGTGATGAATTCTTGGTGGTAGTTGAGATAAAATCGCAGGTCGTCGGGCAGATGTGCTATACTGGGCAGAGTTAATCCATATGGTTCGGGCAAGGTGACACCGACGCTGGCCGACCGAGCGCTTAGCGAGTCATATCTAGATGACGTATCCGAGGACGGGGACGGCGAATTACTATGCTCAATGCGTGCACCACCCGAGTCGGTCGCAACAGCATGCTTTCCACCCTGCTGCTTCAAAGACTGACCACTTTGTCTTCTGGGGAGGTTGGGTTTGGACCATGTGGGTGCGGCTGTTGGGGACAGTCGGGTACTTGACCCGACACTAGCTCCATCTTCATCCTCGTCGGCGATGGGCTCCAAGACGCGGAAGTCCTCGGATCCCGGGTGACCGGAAGTCTCATTTCCACGCAACAGTGATCCTCTGGGCTTGGACACACTACGGGTTCCTGACTTGGATGCACCTGTGGCTGACGGATAGACGCAGTCGCGGTTACCCTTCCGACATCTGTCGCAGACGGGACGTGCTTCGTCGCACTTGATGCGACGGGATCGACAGGTGAAACAGCCACTGCGAGTGCGCTTATGCTTCTTCTGGTCGGAGGTGGGTTGAAGGAGCGACTGGGCCTTTGGGGGCACGGACGGATAGGAGGCGGCGACGGCGGTGGGAGGTAGCGGCGGTTGGGGTTGCGCGGATGGATTGTGCCAAAATGCGACACTATCGGGGTATTGTCCGGTCCCTAGAATGGAGTAGGCGGAGAGAGGAGGGTTCTGGTCCTGCAGCGACAGGAATGAAGGAGTATAGCCAGTCAAGGCGGCCTGGGAACTGGAGTATGGAGGTGCCATGGTGTGATTCGCATCGAAGAGCCCAAGCGGTAGAGGGCCGAGATGGCCGGCATCGACTACAGTCGTTCAGCACCGGATAGATGGGCACCGATGGCGGGGAGGCCCGATCCGCATAGCCAGCACGCACTGAAAGGGAGCTGATGGGAGGAGAAAGATGACAGGAGGAGGAGGTTGAGTCAGAGGAACGCTGATGGAAGATGAGAAAGTTGGTAGCAAACAGTTGGTGTCCGGGTGATTGCAGGAAACAAAGAGAAGGAACGCGGAAGGGAGGGGAGGGCAAAGGTAGAGTAAGAGTTAAGAGGGTTTGGAAGCCACCAACCACGCAGCAGAACAATAGGAAATAAATCAGAAGAGAGGAATGGAAAAAGAGGATAAAAGAAGTCAAATAGTGTGAGAGGAATAGGATGTAAAAATAGAAAGCGAAATGGGAAGAGAAAGAGAAAGAGAAAGAGAGAGGATTGGGGATGGGGCTGACCGGAAGAGGCAATGCATCCAAAAGCAATCCAAGCAATCAATCAAGGGCACCACAACTTTAACTTCCCATCCTTCCCCTTAGTCTCGTTGCTCCTCTATTATCTGGATGACCCGCCAGCGCTAGAACATGGTGGTTCTCACCTTAATTCTATCCCATTCGTCTGTCCGGCATTAATTAAGCCCGCCCTAATTTGGAGTCAAGCCTCCCTAGTGGCCTGGCGGTTGGAGTATCAACCTGAACCTTTTTGCTGCTGCTAGTCCTACTACTAGATGGATACTACTACTGCTACTTGCTCCAGTGGGCCACGTTGGATCTCGATGATCGTCCTCTCACGCACGACCTGTCGATGGATTATCCACGTCTGTTGGGAAAATCCGTTCTTTGCCCCTGCCCAGGTTTACGATCCCCATCACGGAGGAGGTTTCGGAAGGTGCCGACAAGCTGGATACTACCACTCCGTAGTATACAACTCTGTACACGCCGGCCGGTGGTGGCTAGCTGATTGCCTCCCTCCCTCTCCCCCATGAGATCACTTCACTCTATCCTGCCGCCACAATGTCACGCAGTCGTCACTCTAACTATCACTCCTATCTAGACCCATCCACGGATCAGATTACAGCCAGCAAAAGTTCATCCTCCTGCCAAGAGGCTTGCGCACAAGACAAGGGAATAGTTTCCTCCCCGCCAAGCGGGGACGGCGTCATTCTCAGCCACGGCTTCTCCCCGACGACAGTACAAGCCATGGTTCCGTGGGTGTCCGCTCAATCACAAAGCCTAGGGCATTGTCTCAAATAAAGTAGAAGCTAGTCCGGACATTCTGCTCGGAGGCTGTAACAGCGTCATGAATCAGGCCAGCAGTCTGGGTGCAACCGGAGCCGTGGGTGGGTGGATCCGCCCGGCTCCGAGAAACCTATCCTTCACATTGTAGAAACCCGAGTGAACGATCTCCGAGTCAGGGTGGCCATGCTTGCCTTGATCGTTCAATCCATGAATACGGTGCCTGCGGATGCTGCTAAGGTGATCCCTGCGCAAATCCCGGATGTTGTGTGGTGTTTTGACTCGTGAAGACGCCGACAACCACGGCATTGTAGCTAGCCTAGACTTATACGGACTCGTAAAGTATTAGTGTTCATAACATTGCATTCTTGCTCCTCCACCTTAAGAGTCATTGCAATTGCAGTGGATGCGGTCAAACCTTCTTTGAAGGGCCAGCAACCACTAACGCCGTCCCATTGCCACGGGCGACTCCGCCAGCCCCAGCTGGGATCCACTTGAAGCCGCCAGAATGCTCCTCGGCTAATCTGAAACTGCCCCTAACCAATGACACCACCCGATCTGGGAAACATTTGCCGAGACGTTCGTTCGCCCACGCACTCGGAAAAGCTCTGAAGCAGCTCTGGGGTCCCCGTCTGTCACCGGAAATGGGGTTATAGCACCCGCTGTGAACTATAGCAGGGGCGACTGGACGACATCCATGATGGGGTCGCTCAGCCAGCCAGGCAAGCTGGGAAATATTGAATTTAAACTGCGCCAAGGTGATATGATGGGCCGCATTGCGTCGTCGTCGTCGGCCGTAAGAAATGGCCACCACGACGGCGTGGCCTCGCAGGGAGGCAAATTGGATTCGGGTCAGTCGGATGTTCCTGATCGACACTGAGGGTTTGACAGCTGAGTAGGCTGAGTGGCCTCCGCTGGTGACTGGTCGCCGTCCACCCAGATCTAGCTGGGGCCACCAATCTAACCGGCACTGGGCGAGTCTTGACGGCCCTAGTCTCAGCCGTAGGTCCCCTAACAAATTTATCGCCTCGTACTTCGACGCATCGCTGCGGCCCACATTTGCCCTAATCCACTCTTTACATCAATTCCTTGTCTGCGACGAGACCAAGAAGAATATGACATATTCAGAGAGAGACAGTGAGAAGAGGAGCTTACCTACTGTCAGCCGGTCGGCACCTGAATTTGGTTCGCCGCTGGAAACGTGGCAGAGAAAAGTAAGGTTTGCTGAGAACTGGTGCCGACGGTCGCACGTTGTCCTTATCCACCATATCCATGATTAAACAGGTAACCACCACGAACTGTGGACCAAAGGTAATAATTCACCCCTCTCAAAGAAGGCAGGCGTCCGGAGAAGCTGTGGGTGTCTCCATGTGGACAGTATGTTTGCTTCTTCTTAAAGTGTGCCAAAAACGGACGGTTCCCCTTTCCATGCGGACCCGGCATGAGGCATCTGGCCCTGACCTTTCTTCTTCCACCACCAATCACGGAGACTATGGAAATTAACCGTACCTTTCTGGAAGAGCCCGGAGCCTCAGGCGGCTGGGACAACGGATATGCGGAGGACCAACTGCTCCGTCTGTGGAGGGGATTTGTGGCTAGTCAATCAACAACTTGGCATTAAGGAAATGAGGCCCATATAGTGACTGCTCATAGGCTGCGCAAACTAGGTGATTTCTGGGATACCTGGTCCATCAGGACGATCCTTGCAGTTCTTTGAACTGGAGAGTAGGCAATAATACGTTCTTTCTCCATCCTAGGATAATTTGGGACGCTCTTGTTGATCAATAAACTATGAATAGAGTGATCATCCTTGCTATTGTGTATTCCTTTTTATCCGGCCTTGTATGCATGAATGATATGCAGCCATTGGCCAGTCCGGACCTGCACTCATTATGGCTGCACGAGTCATCGAGAGTAAAGAGTGCAGGAAGCCCCGGGCATGGCAAATGGCATGTGCCGCGGGTTCACTAGTGTTCGGGGAACATAGTCGGGGATCTCCAGTCACCCAGGGACCCAATCAGCCAGTACTTTGTAATAGCAGACTGCTCCACCACAAATGACCCTCGGGATTTCCGCTGAATAATTTCTGGACCTAGACTATAGCACTCACGCACAACATATCGATCAGAGAACGTTTTCAAACGGGGTCTCTGATGGGGCATGGCGGATATCAGATCACGCGGAAAGGCTTCAAAATGCGTTGCTTCCACTCGATGATTGCTGCTAGGAGGGTAGATCTAGATTCTGCAGATCATCACATTGATATTATCCTTCCCGTAATCCCCATTGTTGCTCTCCCAGTGGTCGAGAGTCATGGCAGCGCAAGGAGAAACGCAAGAGCCAACAGAAGAATACGAGTACGTGCTATGATCCGGGCCGCAGGCCGGAAGTCAACCAAGTACCCAGCTGGATTGGGCCGCTAGTTAATTTTGTTTCCGGTGAAGCTATGCTGCGAATGGAGCGAGTAAGGGCAAGGGAAAGAGTTCCGTGCTGCTAGTACGGTGGCCACCAGTAGAAGTGCCGAGCCACGACCCGTCCAGCGTTGTTCTATCACCATATCATTGTCGTCCGGGTGGAGTCGGCGCGCATACCTTCCCAACGCAGGATACTAGACGTTATTCCTCGAGCCCACTCATGATGTTACCCTAGCATAGATAGTGTACGTGGGTACAAACTAGCAAGGGCCACAGCAAAAGCACTTTGTCTTCGGGGGGGACGGAAAAGCCGTGATGCACATCAGCCGTTGGATCCTCACGCTGGCCTATCAATGCGTCGAATTAACTGAGAAGTGCATTAGGAGAGGGGAAGGTTTCATCCGTCGGAGGCCTCTGTCGTAACGTACCATCGGAGGTGATGTATTCGTGTCGAGGGTAGAAACTGTGGACCAGAGGGCTCATTCAGAATTACTGGACCTGTTTAAGCTCCGCTTTACTGAATCGTTCAGGCCAGAGGGCTGACTCTGCAAAACATTCAGATATGGACAGTAGCAGCCATGCCAAGTAAGTATCCTTGTGAAACAAGAAATTGAGCCCTGAAACTAGCATCAGTAGTAGACACTGGAACCCGAGGGAGGAGAAGGGGAAGGGGATCGGAAAGTGGGGAGAGAGCAACCAGGCGGAGACCAGGCATGGCATGACCTTCCTTAGAGTAAGGATTTAATCTCTTCTGGGGCGTCAACCAGACGATCTTCAACTTGTTGGGCCAATCTCGATGATGACCAGACAGGAGAACTCTGGTTTTAGTGCATTGGAGCTGCCGGTGTGTTTTCTTGCTGGGTCCAAGCGCATGCTTTGTGTGTGTGCAGCCTGAGGCCTTGTCTGTCCCTTCTGCCCGAGTGCCTTGGGAAAGAAAGCAAGCAATTCGTGCCCATTTGAGCTGCCTCTTTCAGTATGGAAAGTACGAACGTGCTCCTGCCTTAAACCTTGGTGCACTAGCAGGGAGCCATGCCGGCCCAGCAGAAGTACTACGTGACTGTCCAGGGAGAAACCACGCTAAAAAAACCCTAGCAAATTGCTGTGACCGTGCTTTCAACCGGTTTAGACTGGGATTTACCAGCCAGCAGTCACTTGGCAAGAGGGGAAAGTAGATTCTGAAGTCCGGTCCATGTGGGAGCCACTTGATCTCGTATCTGCGCGTCCAATACGTACTACGACTCTCTAGTATCCGGTGACTATAGTGCCATTATATTAAAAGACGAGACGGCGCCGGATGCTCTAGCCATTCATCGTGAGTCTCTCCATCCAAGGGAGTTAGTTCCCAGAGAGGGTTAAAACTCCGTCCCAACCTAACAACCATATGAGGAATGTCAAACGCCCTCGTATGAAGAGCGCGCGTCCATTGCTGAAGTAGCGTTTTAATAGTCGACTTATCAACCCAGCAGACATTATAAATGCCTCTCAGTCCATTTCGTAGTAGTATATGGTATCTTAGACCCCAATAGTTAGTAACAATCATCACTCATAGCCAAAAACACTGATCCACCAGCCACACCCCTCTCACGTAAGAGCAATAAAATCTACCTGCTCTCCTTGACCTCCTGGATCGTAAGCTTCACCCCCTCAATGACCACTCCCCACTCAACCTCATGCACCTTCTGCTCAAACTTATGCAGATCCTCATCCTCCCTCTTCACAAACGGAATTTCTCTGACCAGAATGGGCTGCCCCATATCCACCTCCGAAATAACTCTATGGATCATAACACCCGTCTTATCGATTTTCCCTTCCAACCAAGCAGCATGCGCACGCTCAATAGCGTTCTATTATACCCACCCATCCCAGAATTACGTCAGCATGATTCCTTCTTCCCACGGATAAATTTTAGAGTGCACAAGATAAGGGGGGAACGAATGAAGAAGAGACAAATAAGAAGAATAAACATACCGCCCCATTAAACGCCCCGGGCAGAGCCGGGTGCAGATTAATGATATTAATCTTAGCTTCCTCCAACGGCTCCAAGAACCTCGGCGACAGAACATGCATGAATCCCAAACAAGCCACCATTTCCGGCTTGTCAGCCAGTACCAATCGGGCCAATTCGGCGTCGTACTCTTCCCGCGCCGCCTGAATACCCTCTGGTGTAGCAGGGTGCTGTTTCTTGTATTTCACCAGGTTGTGGTATTGCGTGGGGATGTTGGCCTGTCGAGCCCGCTCGAGACCATACGCATTCTGGCGGTTGGAGATGACGCGCACGATCTGCGTCGAGAGTTGTCCTTGCTGTGTCTTGTCTATCACTGCTTGGAGGTTGGAGCCATTGCCGGATATGAGAACGGTAAGGCGCACGGGTGTGTCCATATTGGCCATCTCTAATAATTATGTCCTTTCTGTTGATTGGGAGAGGGAGACGTGGTTTTGGGAAGGGATCGAGGGACTAGGATCGGGGGTGTTTTGGTCTCGTAGCGGGGTAGGTCGGAAATTTTCTGGAGTGGGTTCTTTTCTTGGTTTCCCTGGCTGTAGAGGATCAGCAACTTTCACTCAATTGATCCCACGGTGAGGGGTAATATTCGCGCACCAGGCACGCGGCGAGTCTTAGCAATGGCGCGGAGTTTAGGCCTAAGAGAGTCGGACTTCAAGGCACAATCCAACTGCGTAACGAGCCAGTGGATGGCAGCCAGACGCGGGGTGGTGAACTGCGGTGGGCTGAGTCAGCCGAGGGGCGGAGATGCGGGACTTTCGCCGGGGTTGGGCTCCGCTCCGCCACTCCCAAGTCAGTGTGTCTGGTTGGCCCAAGCTTATGGCTGGTCTCTACTCAAGAGTACGACGACGAATAGCGTTTCAATCTCAAAATAACAGGCTGTATGCAACTAATATGTACCAAGTCAACTGCTATTGCCGTGACTGCCCTGGCCAGAAACCCCTTGCTACCAATGCGCAATCGCCCAAGAGCCGTAGCTCAACCAGAGAGGGGAATAATACAAAAGGGAAGAGACCAGTAAACGAGAACTCAAAGACTGAAGTTATGTCACAGGAGCCAGATATCATGCACTCGAGTAGGTCCCGTATTTATGGCAGACTGCGGCGGGCCACAAAACCGCAACCACTCTGACATGCCTCACGCGTCAGCTGCCACACCTCCTTGAGAACCCTCCCACGGCCCTTGGCCAGAAAAGACCACTTGCTTAATAAATCAAGAAAAGTGTTCGCCGTGCCTGCCCTCCGTGAAGTGAAAAATAAACCAGTGAAAGACGTTCGTTAGGGTATGAGATAGAACGCTTCATGCTAAGCTTCAAATAAGTCAAGTTTATGTGGAGAAATGATGAATCGAAAGAAAATGACCAACGCAGCGCATGTCCTCCTACTTACGCTGCTGCTGCGCTAGGTGCATCAGGCGTGGGTTGATTATTCGACGTCTCGGCTACACCTTGGCCTCGGCAAAGTGGGCATGAATTACGGCCCGTGGTCAACCACTGGTAGAAAGTCAGTCAGTCTTTGAACCCTCCGAGGAAAGAAATGGACGAACCTGATCAATGCAATCCCGGTGGAAAAGGTGTTTGCATTTGGTCAGTTGCCGAAGCTCCTCTGCCGCCTCGTAGTCACTGAGACAGATCAAGCACCGCTCGCCTTCGGGAAGTTGGATGGCGCCAGCGCCTTCCAGACCTTCTGCAACCAGCGAGCCGGCATACTCCACAAGGCGGAACAGTCCACCGGCCGTAGAGAGATCCTCCTGGGTCGCAACAGGTGGCTTGACAGGCCCAAGCAGAGACGAGAGCAAGATCATGTCTTCGTACGTTGGATTCTACACACGCGTTAGCCACAAAACGCATCGACCAGGGAAGAAAGAGGTTGAGCGAAGAGGGTTAAAGTTGAGATCTCTTACATCAGTAAACAGACTTGGCGTTGCAAAAGCAGGGTGATTCTCTGAAAGATTGGTCCCGACAACGTAAATCAGCCAGCTTCTTCCCGTGGGTGGTGTAGCATTGTCGGGTTCTACGACACCGTTACGCCGGACAGCACCAGACCCTAGGTCACGATGGCGTGCATATTCTGAGTCACTTCGACGTCGCTGGCGCGTATTCAGCGGAATACCGTCTTCAGCGGGCTCAACCGTGGGTTGCATCGGTCGGTTGGTGTCAATCGGAGGCAGGGTACCTGGTGACATGGCCGAAGCAGTCGAAGGTCTCCGACTAGGAGTGGACGCGCTGGATGACACGGCGGATAATCCCGGTTCAGCTGGCGTCGAAGGAGGAGGATGGGGACCTGGAGGGCTTTCCGAAAGCACCGAAGGGGCTGCAGATAGTGAGCCTAATGGGGCCCGGGTGCCCGCGTCAGACAGCCGCCGCAGTGGGGTCGGTCCTCCTTGTGAAGAAATCTCACTGCCCGTGGGAAGTCCACTAGGATGCTGCTCGCCCTGGAGCCGGATAGGTGGAAGCCTTGGCCGCCCATCTGGACGTGGCGGAAATCCAGAGCCGTTCTCGTGATTGCGTGCTAGATTCCCAGGCGTTAGGAACGGCAAGCGGAGCAAGGCATCCAGTCCAGTTCCTGGATTACCTGGCTGATCGCCGCTAGGCCCGTTCCCAGAGGGGACCGATCGTACACCAACCACTACGAGAGTAACAGTACGTCCTTCAGGTCCATCAGTAGGGTTGTCCACATCCATTCCGCCGCCGTTGTTATCGGTGTTCTCAGCGTTTGCCGTTGGACGATTCAATGGACCGCTCGGTCGAGTACCATCTGAATTGGCAAAGCGGAAGACTCTCAGGAAGTTAACCGGGGTCGGAGGACCGTTGTCGCCTGCCGCACTCTCTCCTTCGTTGGGGGCCGTCTGGGTGGACGTGGCGTGCTGTAAGCTCTGTATGAAATTATCCAACGAACCATCAAGGCCATCATTACCCAGAGCCTGAATGTTGGGCATAACTGGACCAGCTGTGCCAGAGAGCTGAGCGGCAATGGCGGCAGCGGCCAGTTGAAGGACACGCGACAAAGGGGTCTGTTCCTCTCGACGCATGGCTCGAGACGGTCTTGCTCGCAGCAATCCCGGGAGTTGCCGTAAGCCAGGTGGGCCTTGTGTAGACTGCGATGACATAGGCGAGGTAGGACGGGTACTGCCTACAGCAGGTTCTACCGAATCAAGCTCATGGGGCTCATCAAAGTCCATCTGGCTATCCATTGACCTTGAATAAGGAAGAAATCCGTCGGCGTCTTCACTAGAGACTGGGTCCAGGGGTGGTTGTGGGATCGGTCCTGATTCTTGGGCCGATGCGTTCGGGAAAGATTGGCCGAACATGTGGCCAATTGGTCCTGACAGTGAGTTTCGGACACGATGCAGCCGAGCACTGCGGCGCCATGAGCTTCGCGTAGGTTCTGGGGTGATCTCTGTGGTAGGGTCGAGGAATGAGCCGGAACGAGCGGGATCTGACGAGAGAGTTGGATCATTGCGGGGGATGAAGTACGGCCCACGTAAGGAGCGTCGCCTAGAGACGCTTCTCGAGCTGAGGGAATTGAACGGGCTAAAACGGGCGCTGCTATGCGTGGCTTCCGATCTTGGAATCGTCCTTGACACGATACCGTGGCGATGGGCGTGACCTTCTGCTGGTGTTTCTTCTTCGCTGCTTAGCAATCCACGGATCACCGAATTAGGAAGGATCCTAGAACCCAATCGCGACATGGTTGACTGCCTTCTGGCAGCCATTCGGGCAAATATATCCGATCGATATTCCCGCTGGCCTGGCTCATATTGCGGGTCGTTCTCCTCCTGTATTGTTCTCATATGTCGTTGTTCACCACCTGAGAGGTTGGGATGCCATATCTCGGCAGAAGGATCCGGATGAGCGGGGGCTCCTGAAGTTGTTGGAGTGTTGTCATGGTCTGTCTCTGTTCCCGACCGGGGCTGGTAGTCCCCAGTCTGCTCCGTGTTGTAGCTGTTATTCATTGCTTCATCCCTATTTCTGCGGACACGGATCGCGTGGAAAGTAGGAAAGTGTTCTGGAGGGGTACTGTGACGACGATTCCGTTGTGTGGAGGAAGACTGTCCCATAGTAACAATAACGCAAGGACGTGGCGATGGGAGTCTATAAGCCGCCTATTGCCATCGAAAGGTGGATGACTAAAGGTGCAACCAGCATTAGTAAGATGGCAGACACAGCAGTGACTCACTTCAGGCACGGTCCGATGGGCAGAAGTGAAGGCAGGGAAATCGCGACCAAGAACAGATGGTGAAGTGGTGGCCGATAAGACAGCTCTTGCAGGCAATACACTCTGACAACGCCACTAAGAAGGGTCCCGACTCCTGAGGACCCTGGAATTGGCCCTGATAGTTTCAGGCAGAACGTACCATTGGGCAGTCTTCAGTGAAATGACATGAATTCAATTCTTGTGCGAAATTATTGTTCTCGATTTGCAATTCAAGGTCCAAATGTGTTACTGCAGGCGGGCGTTGGGAAGTGAACGTGCCTGATCGCACCGTGTGGTAGGCCGTTCGGAGTCCAGGCGGCTGCGAACGAGCGTTGGGCAAAAGGCGGAAACTGGGAGGTCGGCAGAGTGAAGAGGAGCAATTTCCCCCGCTAAGAAGATCCTAAAAGGTGTAGAAAACTATCTGAAGGCCAGCCAGCAGGTGCCGATTCCTTTTAAAGGGAGCCACAAAGGAAGGACGTGTGATGGGATTAAACGCCGTACGACATTCGGGGGGAGCGACCCCACGACTTAACCGGAGGCTACCGTAGTTGTTGCAGCTTAGAGACGGGTAAGTATGGGAGTTGTTGGCGAGACAGTTGTCCAGCAGTGAACATGAATGCCAGGGTGAAAGAGAGATCAAGAAGTGCGAGAAGCCCTGGGGGCCTCTGATAGATGATGAAGCACGGAGGGAGCGCCCCGAGGATGAGGAGGATGACGATGATGGAGAGGAGATGATGAATGATAACAGTTGGTTTCGGTTTGGCTGCTGGTCGGGCGGTTTTGGTTTTGGTTTCGGCTTGGCTTCGTTTTGCTTACTTGACCTACAGTCCGTCCCATCTTGGCCTAGTCCCTTCGCGGGTGGTCTTACATAGTAGCTTCTGATTGGTCTTAATCTTTAAGGCGATCTTGCCCGTGACTCCAACTGTCCCTGAAACGGTTTAGTGGCCCGGCGGTTTCGGCGGTTTCGCCCTCCTGGATCCGATCTAGTGTTATCTACTAATGGACTAGCGCCCAATGTGTTCAAAGGCGGCATGATTTGTGGCACTGCTGATTGGACAAGAAGTCTGAAATAAATTGCCTCAGGTGTCTCCTCCCATTTTTGGACTTCTCTGAACATGTACTGCGGACCTTCTTTACTTCCGATTCTATCCATCCTTTACGATCGATGATCGTCGGTGATACAGATTAGTGATGGGGTATTTGTGGACGTCATTCCTATAAACAAGACACATTGAATACGCTCAAGCCACTCGTCCCCATCACTTTTCATGCGGTGATCCTTGCTGTCAAGGCCCACGGGACCTCCCCGTACCTCAATAGTCCTCCTCTTCTGGAATAGGCCGTTGGCATTATTGTCATCCGTGTCTCTATGGCATCTGTTCCTGCTGCAGCAGTCTTTTCTTTGCCTCTCGCCCCATGGCAACAACCTGCCAGTGTGCGCGTAGCTCAGTACGAGCCTAGGAAGCGCAAGAAGGATTTCTCCGACTGGGGGGACGATGATGACGATGTTGATGGCGACACAACAGATGCGGCATCAGAGGCAGCTCCTGGTCCATCACTCACCCTCTCCCCGGATGAAGCCCATCAATATCGCATTGCTGGCCTTGCCTTCAACCAAGAATTACCTGGGGGCAATTTCCCACATGCCCCGGTTAAAGATCAACCGACCCGTCGGCAGACACGAAACCAAGTCCTGAAAGAGTTGACTTCGTTGCCATCTCCAATCTATCCTCCTCAGTCTGCAGCCCATCAAGGGAATCTACGTCTTCAGCATCTGGCCGTGCTATCTTCCATTTTGCACCGTTGCCTCCTGCAGAAAGACTTCGTTCGAGCGGGCAGGGCGTGGGGGTTAATCCTCCGTGAAGAAATTGGGGGCATCCCAATTGACGTCCGCACTGAAGGGAGATGGGGCATTGGTGCAGAAATTTTGCTCCGGCGTGACTGCCAGGTCTCGGACACGTCTCCTGATAATGCACAGGAACGTGATGCAGAGCCGTCTGAGGCACCGCCTTCCAAACTCTTATTCACAAGGCAGGGTTTTGAGAAGGCCAAGCAGTATTACGAAACCCTCATCATTCAGCACCCATACCGAAAAGCGGCACCTGATGCTATAAGCTCACTACACTTTTATCCTGCCATGTTTGGACTTTGGGTGTATGTCACCCAAGAGGAGAGCAATGTTTGTCGACAGAAAATCTGGGACGCCCATGGCGCGTCCCCTGACGATTCGGAAGGAGAGGATTCTGCGCTCGATATACAACACCATGATGTCACCCGACAGAAGACGCATGCGCTGATTGCCAGTGTTAGGAAGAGTGAGCTGGAACAGGCTCAGAAGATTGCAGCCAGGATGGACGAGATTCTCGGATCTCCCCCATACTCCGACTCTCCTGAGTTACTGGAGCTCCGCGGAATGATCTCTCTCTGGATCGCTGATTTATTTGTCTCATCACTGCCATATGGGCGAGCAGAGGGAGATATGGACGATTATGATTCCGATGAGACCGGTTCATCATCCGCCGAAGATCTTCAAGACTCGCTTCAAGAGCGGCGAGAGCGCCGACTTGCAGTTGAGAGGAAGGAATACGAGGTACAGAAGTCGCAGGATTATTTTGCGAAGGCCAAACAGCGTGGCAAAGGGGTCACCTCTACGTTTGGAGACCTGCATATAGATGATGATGATGCTTCATTTGGGTATGCGGATTAACGAGACATGCTTAAAGATATGTATGGATGTATTTTACCAACACAAATAAAATAAATGTAAAATCAGATAATGATATTCACAAAGTATTCATAATCTATAAACTTCCCTCTCATCTCTCAGCTCATTTGTAAGAAGCTGGATAAAACTGGCAGTATTGATGCCCATCGGTCACACGTGACCTCGTGTGGATGCCTTGCGCGTGCCTGAAGAATCAACGCGTTAGCCATTTTCGACCTCCTCTCAGAGCCATCGATTCAATATCCTCACAACCATGACCGGACCCACACGTTCTAGATAACAATTGTAAATTGCAAGTCATCCACAATCATTCCGGCATATCGATCAGCCCCTTCCCCACTTGCTCTTTGTTGAATACTACCCTTCCTTCTCCTCACCCCGCTCAGACTCGGGTAACCATGGGAGTGGGCGATTATGTGCACTCAAAAGAGGCTGGCCAGCCTCGACCACGCACAACTGAAGCCTCAAACCAGTCACGGCAGGCTCTAGCCGCACAAGCAAGGGTTGACGTCCCTCCAACAAATCTGGTGGCGCCGGTGCCCCTGCCAATCAACAAATCAATTCCCCTGGAGCATTATTCAACACCGGCATTTAGCGAGCAGATGCCTCAGGCGCCCGCGGAAAATGGCGTGCATAGAGACATGTTTGACACCGATGTGGAAGGCATCGACGACTCGACTATCGCTGCGACGAGTGTTATGGGCGCAGAGGATGCTCCACTTCAATTCCAATTACGACCCGCCACAGTTCCTCAATATCAGGAGGCAGCGCCAGTAGCGGATGAGAGGCCACTGCATCCGTCTCGATTGCCACGCCGTGCTTACGATGGCAAGTGGTACGAGAATCTTGGAGACAACGCTATGAAATCAGCTGGTTTCGACTCAGAAGATGCCGATGATGCAAGTCAATTGACCTCCATGGCTGGAGACGATGAACGATCTGATACAACTGAGGACGGGAACTACGCCCGCAGATACAGATCCTCCACCGAGGAACCATTAAGCAAACGACTACAGAGCTTTTGGACCGCCAGCAGGAGATCTTATCACAATCCAGAACCACAAGCATATCCCGAACCATCAAAGACTGCTGCTGCTCCTCCTCCTCTGCGGCAATCCACATCCGACGCCAGATTATCAAAACAGGCTCTACCCAATAGGAAAGTCACACTGCCACGCAGTATGACAGCAACTCCACGGACACGATTCAGTCCACCAAAGCCATCTCTCCTAGAACAACTGGACATAACCCCAACTCGTCGAACCTCAGGTCCTCGACCCCAACCCGGCAAAGAACCAGGTATCACCAGCACTACCAACCACCACCAGCGCCACAACTCCGACGACAACCACCTCTTCAACACCAGCCGCGACAGCCTACCACCCCTAACCACCTTTGACATGACCAACATCGACGACCTAGACGTCGACGACGATGACCACGACCCAATCAACGACCCCTTCGCCCGCCGCAACTCCGTCCAACGCATCGTCTCAGAGGACGACCCCGACTTCCAACCCACCAAGAGCACCATCACCATCGGCACCAGTACCAAAAACAAGAAACGTAACCTCGAATCCGACTACCCACCCGAAATCCTGCGCCAAAAATCCTTCAAGGACCTCCAATCCGAACCCTTCGACCACACCCCAACCGCACCCGCCAAATCCACCCCCACCACCACCACGCCAGCCCCCAACACAGGCCCCAACGCCACCTCAGACGAGAAAATTGACTTCCTACTAAACTCCGAAGACAAAGACCGCCGCGACTTCTTCTCCACGCTCACGATGAACGAATGGGAAGATTACGGCGATCTCCTCATCGACCAATTCAGCAACGCACTTTCCAAGATGAAAGATCTCCGCCATGCAAGACGGAAAACGGCGGCATTGTTTGAGGCGGACATTGCGAGGAGGAATGAGGTGGTGGAGGAGCAGTCTGCTGATTTGACGAGGAAGTTGGAGGAGATGAGGAGTGGGGGGGCGGAGGTGTTGAGGGGGAGGACGCCTTGATTTTATTTTACCTAATATATGATATAAGTGAGAGGAGTTTAACTTGCATATATACTTAATGGCCTTCTCGGCGAAGGATGTACTCGCTTGTGTTGATTCTATTTCTATGTTTTTTTTATTGGGGTTGTGGTATGTGCGTGCATGGACTGGAGAATTGCACTTTATCACCAACATTTCGATCATGATTTCGTTTATTGTTATAGGATTAAGACTGTATTTGTTTCTTGTTGTTTCTCGGGATATTCAAGGTTTATGATAGAGCTTACGTGAGGATGACCATCACTATACCATGTTTCAATTACTGCTTTGTTATGTATGGTTTTCGCTGAACAATCCTCATATCACCATCATCATTTAGCAATATCATTATACTCCACACCTATACTCCCCCAGCTCATAGCTTGAAAGTAAAATCTGCATTTGATTAAACACTAGCACTGCTAGCTATGTCTTCGACCTAAATGGCTGCAAATGCAAGACTTGACTGAACCTGGACACTTGAAAACACTGAACACCAGCAGTGGTCTACAATCTCAATGATATAACACACACATAAACACAGAACGCGGAATCGCCATGGAGAAAAGAAAGGATACAACGAAGAGGGAGATAGTATGAACAACCATGTGGGAATCATATGCTTTAGGAAAAGAAAACGGAGAGGAAAGCATGCAGTCAAGTTCAGTGGTTCTGTTTCGATAGCGCTACTGCAAGGCGCTTGTAGTCATCCAGCAAAACAGATACATCGGCGATGGTAAGCTCGTTGGCGTTTTGCATCTGGAGGAAACGTTGAATAGGCGGGTCCACCCGCTCTACACGGGGCGGGGCGGTGTGCACGCTCGACGAGGAAGTCTCTCGGGAGAGGATCGAGGCTCTGATTCTCTCAGTGGGTGTGTTGGGCGATGGCATCGAACCAGGAGTGTCAGGAGTTCCAGGGACACCGCGTCCAAAGTTGCGGATCATACCGGGGATGTGGTTGAGTGGGTTGAGGGTGTTTCCAAAGTTTCGCACAGATTCAAGTGGTGTAGGCGCCTGCGAGGTCGCGCTTGCTGGGGAAGCCTGGGGCTCTTCCTTCTGGGGGCCTTGAGAGACAGTTGCTTTTCTGGAGCTGCCCTGGGTCCGAACACTCTCGACACTCCGGTCGCGTGGTGTTCTCTGGCCACTGACCAGCCCTAGGAATGTATCCTCAGCCTTCGATCCGATGCGCCTTAGTTGTGGGCGGTCAACGGGACGAGACTCTCTTCCGGCATTTTCGTCCTGGTTCAGGCTATGCTCCGTAGATATAGGGTTGTTGACCAGACGTCGAGCATCTGCCAAGGTCTTGGGCAGTACTGGGTTCCCATCTTTGACAGGGAACTGATTGGACTGCAACTCTTTGAGGCGGCCAAACAGGAAATTGAAACTGCTGTCCAAGGATGCTCCAATGTTCTTGAGCCCCTGGTCGGCAGTGTTACGAACAGCATCGTTAGCAGCACCGAGCACCTTGGCAGGGGGCTGGAAGAGGTTGTTCAGCCGCCGTTGTTGGGTGCTCGCCGATGACTGAGGTCTGGGCAAGCTATCCGAAGCTTCTTGTCCAACTGATTTGGAGAGTTCAGGTGAGGCTGTCACTGGTGTAACCGACGATACTGCTGCTTCCTTGGTGGTAGTAGGAGACGGGAGGGAGTCGACCTTTCCGGCCGCAGTTGAAACATCATTGGATGCCTTGGTCTGGCCTTCAAAGGCCTCCTCGCCGCGCAATTCAGACAGATCTACATTTTCAAGAAAGCTAATGGCCGCTTCCAGATTAGTCAAACAATATGCGGTTTCACCGTCTATCTTATTGGATGACCTAAACCGCTGGATGAATTGTAGGTTGCTTATAACGTTAATCCCCTCAGGAGGGCAAGTGATCAAGGAATAGATCAGGGTAGGTAATATCTCGTCAGCAGAAGAAGATGATGGCAGGAGCTTAGTCAAGGCATCAACTATGGCCTTGTGCGCGGCGGCAAGTTGTTGAAGTTTGCCCAAAGGATACTTGTCATCGTTCATCTTTGCCAAGCAGTCTCGCGCAGCAGAAAGACATTCATCCGCTTCTTTTTGCTTGTCTTCATCGATAGCACTCAGGTCGATCTCGACACCGAGATCCTTCAGATTAATGCCAACTACAGAGAGAGCCGCTGTTTTTGAGCGCAGTTTCTCGTCTCTGATTTCATCCAATGTACTCTTATGTCTCCATAGCTTGTCGTAAATAGTCTCACAAGCTCTCCGTTCCACGGCTTCTTCCAAGGCAACACGCTTGGTTGCAAGATGCTTTCGCGCAGTCCTCCTTTCAGTGACTTCTGATGCTGTCAACATCTGGCGGCCATCTGAACCTGTATTACTAGACTTGCCCTGCGCGGCACGGTACGGGGAAGGGTCACGGTTTATCCGGGAAGCAAGAGCAGAGATATGTGTAGCTATGTGTGATTCGGCTCGGACGTAGAATTCTTGAAACCGGCTCGATACTTTCTCGATAGTGGGAGGAGAGGAGTGTACCTTGGCAGTAAGAGAGTGGACAAATCTGCCAGTAATAACATCAGCATCACATCAACGTGTAGTGATAGTAGAGGTCCGACTGTACCTGTCTGTCATACTTGCAAGCTCTATTGGTAGTTCCTCCGTGTGACCCAAGCTACCTCGAGAGAGCACCGAGGTCTCCTCACTCTGCTGCGCATCGTCGCCGTAGCCCAAGTCGGCAGAGCCTGATTTCTCAAACAGGTCAGGGCTGCTGTTCCGGTCCTCCTCGGCCGTGGACAAGGGTAACGGGAGCGCCTCGGCGTCTACCGACTCTGGTATTGCCACGGACTGAACAGTCTTGGCTCTGGAACGAACGAAAGGGCTCGTCTCGGGAGCGTCCATCCTTGGGAACGAGCGGGCCGTGTGTAGGCGCGGCTTTGCAGCGCCATCGTCGGCAGAATTGGCAGACATGGTTATCTTTGAAAGAGTGACAACGAGGTATCAGTCCGACAAGTGTTGGGCTTTCAGCTGCTCATATGATCGGCTCATACGAATGCAGTAGTTGGGGCCGGTGCGTATAGATGACACCTGGAACTTTAATCTGGCAACCCCAACCGAACGGACGGGTTCAGGGGGAGAGGGCAAGAACTAGATCTGGGTGGGATTAGTTGTCCAAACCACACATCATGAGCAAACTACCTCGCAGGCCAGTTTCAAAAGACGTCAGACCTCTAAGAAGATGAGAGGAAAGTCAACAATCAATAGTGGCTCATGATTGCGCGGCGGAGTAAGCGTCGGCGAAACCCAAAAGCGGCGGACGTCACGCGCCAATCACGTGTGGCAGTCACGCTTTCTCCGCAATCGGGATTCCCGATGCGGCCTGTCACGATAAGTGATCTTCGCCTAGCTTGGAGTCGGTTTTTGATGCATTCCTACCAAGCGAACATGCGAAAGAGTTCGAGTTCAATTCAAAGAGAAAAGGTATCAAAAACGCAACTTTCTTACTATTCGTTCACAATCGTGGCTATGTCAAACAAGCATGACTAAATGAAGCGTCAATTGAGTAAATAGGTATCATAGCTATCTAACATTCATCATTCTATGATGACTATGCACGTGGAGTAAAGAACAAGGCTAAATCAGAACAAGGGTAAGATACTGTAATTTACAGACGGGAAGACTTGGAGTGGTCAGCCTTGGCCTCGGTAGCCTTCTCGATGCGGGCACCCAGATCGGGGTTGACACGATGGAACATGCCGTAGGTGGCCTTGCGAACACGCTCGTGGGCGGCGCACAAGTGAGAGGAAACGTTGTGGACAAAGTTGTCCTGCTGGCCGGGCTGGCGACCCAAGACCTGCCAAAGGCCGTTGGCCTGCACATAGTCCTCATCGGTGACGGGCAGCTGCTCAACAACGACGGAACCGGCCCACTTCTCGTGCTCCTGACTAGCCTTCACGGGCTGGTAGTTGTAAGGACGGAAGGTGGAGGGATAGTTGGGGTTGGCTCCGTAGTTGCCGTGCACGTTCATGTACCCATCACGGTGCCAGGGGCTGAACGAGCGGAGCGGGCAGTTGACGGGGATCTGCTCGTAGTTGCCGCTCAGACGGTGGCGCTGGGTGTCAGGGTAGGAGAAGAGGCGGGACTGCAAGACAGGGTCGGCAGAGGGCTCCACGCCCGGCACCATGTGCGAGGGGGAAAAGGCGGCCTGCTCAACCTCGGCGAAGTAGTTCTCGGGGTTCTTGTTCAGAGTGAGCTTGCCGAAGCGGCGCAGAGGAACCTCACTCTGAGGCCAGACCTTAGTCAGGTCAAAGACGCTCCAGCGGAACTTCTCGGCCTGCTCGGGGCTCAGAACCTGGACGTAGCAAGTCCATGAGGGGTTCTCGCCACGCGAGATGGCGTCGAACAGGTCCTGGGTGTGCCAGTCGGGGTTTTCAGCCGCCAGGCGAGTGGCCTCCTCGTTGTTGAAGGTCTTGTTGCCCTGGTCGGTCTTCAGGTGGATCTGGACGTAGTTGAAGGTGCCGTCGGGCTTGATCCACTTGTAAGTATGGCCGGAGTAGCCGTTCATGTGGCGGTAAGAGTAAGGCGTGCCACGGTCACTGAAGAGGTGCATGACCTGGTGAACGGCTTCTTGGTGGGTGGAAAGGTAGTCCCAGAACATGGTGGCATCCTTGAGGTTGGTCTGGGGGTTGCGCTTCTGGGTGTGAATGAAGATGGGGAACTTGGCGGGATCACGGAGGAAGAAGACAGGGGTGTTGTTGAAGACCCAGTCCCAATTGCCCTCTTCAGTATAGAACTTGATAGCGAAGCCACGGGGATCACGCGCGCTGTCCGCAGAGCCCTTCTCACCACCAACGGTTGAGAAGCGAGTGAACAGCTTGGTCTTCTTGCCAATGCCCTTGAGCATGTCGATGACAGTGATGTCGCTGATGTCATCGGTGACCTCGAACTCACCAAAGGCGCCAGCACCCTTGGCGTGGACAACACGCTCTGGGATTCTCTCTCTGTCGAAATGTGCGAGGAGGTCGATCAGGTGGAAGTCCTGAAGCAGAAGGGGTCCGTTGCGGCCAACGCGCTGGGCAGCCTGGGGGTCCATAACCTGAGATGTGTCAGTATGTTATCCGTAAGTGGACCATATGATGTCGGCGCAGCATACTGGACAGCCATTGGAGGTGGTGTAGATGGGCTTCTCATTGTAGCGGTAGGTCTCTATAGGACAGACCTGAGTTAGTCCTTCTGTTACGCTTCAAAAGGATTAAAAGGCAGGAAAGTATAAACATACTGGGTTGGTCGTCCTTGCCCATGGTGACGGTTTGTGATGTGAGCTAATTGAGAGTAATGCAAGAGGAATGATTTGAAGATTGCGACAAGCCGGGGAGAGGAAGATGTGGTCCGGCGGGCTAATATAGCTGAATGCGGGGTTTAAGTAGATTGGAGAGCTAAGCAGTGGTTCGTTGATAGGGACAAGGAAGTCCTTGGGAGGAATGCGGGGAGTAAAAAAGGCCACGGAATGGGGTCCCAATGAAGGAAGAAGTAATTGCAAGAACTGAAGCAGCAGCGGCAAGGGAAGAAGAGATTATAAGGAAAAGAGCAGACGATCCATTGAAAGATTTGAAGGCGGGTGGCTCGTCGCCGAGGGAGGCAGATGGGGAACCCCGTGCAGCAACAGCCAATGATGAGGCCGGGGAAGGTCAACGCGGTGGTTCCACGGAATCGCCTGCCTCGATCAGTCCCGCTGCCCGTCCGATTTCCCGCCGGTTCAGGTACTATGACTTATGCCATTGACCTGAGATCAATTGATAGTTGAGCTCACTTATAGAACTCTATATTGGCCTGAAGCTATCCAAATGCTTCTGGGCAGCAATGAAAGAAAGTCAAAGATTCATTTGCACATTAACTTTTCTCGGAAGCACGAAACAAAGAATATGACCCAAAAGGAGCTTTCCGATACGCTAATTTACCCCGCACAGTTGCAGCCAATTCCGTCAGGGGTGTCCACCAATCAGCATCATCTCGATGTCAGAATGTCAACTAATTCTAGATTTCCCCGCGCTATTTCCACTGAAGGGAAATTGACTATATTAACTATATTGAGGACGATGTGGAGGATAACTCTGTTCTAGATAGTTCACTAATATAAGTGGTGTGGTGTGGACGGAGATCCCTAACACGTAACCACCTAGACGAGCACTGAAACGGCCCGAGGTGGGCATGCAAAGATCCCGGGAGCCTACAAAATGCGCTAAGATTCGAGGTTAGTTTATCCGCTAGTGATTTAGTTGGCTGTTGTGGTCTGATAAAGTGATAATCAATCTTAGTCAATGGACCTGGCCAGAAGTTGCCTGCCTTTCTGCAGCCCGCCAGCCCTGCAGGCACTAATACTCAGTACTACCGGTTGGCCGTCTGGACCTTCCGCGATCCCATCGTAGAAATCCTATCCGGGCGTATTTCTTGCCTCATTGGGAAAGTGGCTGACTTTGCTGATTCTCTGCAAGAGGAAGGCAATCCTCTTTGACCTTCCTAATCAGGTGATGTGATACTTCGAGCTGTTGTTCGTTCGTTCGCTGTTACCTAAAATAGTTATTAAATGAGATCTTCATGATAAACATAGCTAGCTGGATGAACGGTATATGATCAAGGGGAGTAAAGTGATGATGTCTCGATCGCGATAAAAATACCCCCCACATTCTTTGGAACACAAGTATCCCTGTATAATTTTCTCCGCCCAGGACCTTTCCATTCGCTACTGTGCGATATTCATGAATACAATTGGCCGAGGTAACCATTTGTCTGTCTCCAGCACCGATTGCGGCTATGATTGTCGGCTTGTCAAGTCAAAATAATGATCACCCGATTCCTTGACGTTATTGCGAAAGTTATTTCTCTACCGACAGCTACGTCAGATTCAACGGGGAGTTCCCCGCGGAAAGCTCCGCCCTCCGAAGCGGAGCGAAATTCTCCTAGTGGAATAGGAACCCGAGCAGCAGATGCCTCGGAACACCCGCCCGCTCGGTTCCGATCGCGTTCATGCGAGTTTCTAGTTTACGCTTCATGCTTTGAGTTTTACTCATCCTCAGAAAGTCGATTTGTCCTGCAAACACGCAATTCATATAGATACAATCAAATCAGTTATTAAGCCATACCCATTTGAGCGAGAAAGCAATTAACATCCGTCAAGCCCATTACATAGCAGATTCATCAAGTCATGTCATATCCAATCGGACCTCGCCATCACCTTTACTTCCGATCAGCATTCGCACCGGATCTGTCGCCATTGATGCTGCTAAGGATGTCTCCAGTCGACTGTCCGACGCCCCGGGTTGTGTTGCCCAGGCCTTCAGTGGCACCGCCAACAGTCTTTCCAAGACCCTGAGTCGCACCGCCGGCAGTCTGACCGAGTCCGCCCACAGTGTTTCCCACAGTGTCTCCGAGTCCTCCCACAGTGCTTCCAACAGTGTCACCGAGTCCGCCCACGGTCTTTCCTAGGGTATCGCCGACACCTCCAAGGAGGTTCGCTATATACTTACGCATTAGCAACAGGTGTGTAATGGTATCGAGGTATTATGGGATTTGGTACCCAGGGGTGCGAGAACTTCAGAACGCGATCGACTAGTTAAGTCAAGGCACAAACTAGGGAGAATATAACATAGGAACAGTAGGTGCGAGGGTCGATGGTCACTTACGGTTGTTGTTGTTATCGTTGCCAGAAGACATGACGTCGATATCGCGGCAGCAAAGCTACTTCAGTGAGGAAGTTCTTGGAGGAAAGAAAATTATATCTTGAATGGAAGTATGATTCTTAACCAGACTGATGATGCAGTATAGATCGAATCCATCGCCAAATGTTGTGATATCTGTTCTTTTTATATACCAAGGTACATAGGCACATGTGTCCAACATCGAAAGTCGCCACGGGACGCTCCATCCCCCTATGATATCATCGTGTTCTGAAACCAAGATGGTACCACAACCCGCAGCCAATAAATTCGGGCAATCGAAAATCTGATGGCAGCGCCTGATGACGCTCGTCCGCAAAATGATGAAATAAGGCCCTGGCCGTTATGACAGTGGCGCGACGACCCCTACCTGCGATGCTGGTTATGGTGCTCATTGGTCCCCACAAACATCCGCATACGTAGGGAATATGCGAGTAAATATGGTACTATAGCAGCACGAGACCATATCTTTCTAACCAGATATAGGGTTTAGGCAGCGATGGGAACCATCTTCCTAACCAACCTGCACTGTCAGACTTAATTTGCGCAACAACTATCGACCAAGCGGAATGATCTGGGCAGTTGCAGTATTGGGACTCATCCCTTCACTCTGGTCCACTGGTCCACGCCGTCGGGATGGCTAGTACTAATGACCAGTGACTACCAATAGAGAAATGGCCCGTCAGATCATCGATAGGAACGGGCTTAGGTTCTAGTACGATCCGCCTGAATTCATATTGTATAATATAGCCGTCAACCACTTGTAACTCACGGACGAACAGAAAAATGCCCCCAATATCAACTTGAATCAGATAACACCTTTGTATCCTCGCTCATAATGGATCCCCCCTATCCATCACCCACCCCAACTTTAGCTTGTTCCGACCTAGGACATGGGAACCTAAAAAATTATCTTCCAATCGACCAGGGGGCTGTCAGGGTATTAGCAGATGCACGTGATCGAAGGTCTCCAAGTTACCCAGCCTATGTTCAACGAGCATGTTTTTGGGCACCCTCATTCTCTTCACCTGGATGAGTAACTCGACCACATTCCGAACCACAACAGGATAATCTTCCTCTTTCAATGCCACGACTAACAATCGCAGGTGCACAAGATCGTACCGTCCACATTGGTCCTCGTGAAACCGGCCACGCATGTCATGTACCGAGAAAAAAGTTTCATGGGAGGGGTTGACGTCCTTCGTGAACGGGTATTGCGCGAGCGAGATGTCGAAGCCGTGGAGGTAGAGGTGGTTAGAGGGGGGTAGGGTGGAGGGCGTCTGTTACGGAGGCGAGCCAGATCCTATTTCTCTCACCTTGGTAGACCTCGTCTTTCTTGCCTTTTTTATAACGTTCAGGGTTTGTGGTTCTCCAGCGTATAGTTGGGGATAGGCGTACCCCGTGCCGGTAGCGACAGCTCGCCATGGTGCATGATAATAAGTACGTAGGGAATGATAGCGTAGAGCCCACCAACAGTCACACAGTTGACAACAAGAAAGAGATGTTGAGAAAAGAGATGAATTAAGACAAGGGAAGATGCGATCTCAAATACCATCACATCCGCTGCCGCCGTCCCTCTCCCAAGAGTCCGGAAACCCCCCCTCACACGCCCTCTCTAGTAACCTCACTAGTCCCCTCTCCGATACAAGCAGAGACATGCATCCCTCACAGAACGGCGAATTCCCTGGCGCGATTCACTTCAGCTTGACAATCCCGCGAGTAATGGTGGATCATCAGCCTATTTGGGAACCGTGATACCATGTCCTACTCTTACAGACCCGTCTGAAACTACATTCCATGTCCTGTTGTAGAGAGACTAGTTATCAAACCCCAGTTGCGGGAGCAAGTCAGGGACTTTGCCAGTATAGGCTGCTTATGACAAAAAGAGCCCATCCACAAGAGCAATTAGTATGAACAATTATATTAGATCTCCGAGCTTAGGGTTCGAAAAACAGTTCGCTCCAAAACACATCTTGGATCCTGCTCTTCGCGTGTGCAAGCCCGTTGGTTCCAATACGTCCTACCTATCTATCCTTTCAAGATGATATCAACAAGGAATAATCATCACGAGTGGCCAGCGATGGATTTTGGTAGATTCTGGACATGTACCGGAGTTTCCTTGGCTAACATATCAATGCTGTTGTTCTGTTGCTTGAAGATCTCCACTTCACATCCGCCTCGAAGGATGGCCACTCGTAAAGTTGCCAGTATATTATTTGCGGCGTTTGAATGGAGGTAGACGGCACCATTGAACAAGGTGGTAGCATCCTTCCCTAGTGCCAAGCGCATCATCGACTCGCCTCCAGGGTGTTCATGAATAAACTTCGACACATCGTGAACGACTCCACCGATTAGTATTAAAAGATGACCCTGCGTAACCTTATCATGATACTCATCCCACTCCATAACAGGTAGCTCACTGAGTGGCGGCCCCCAGTCAAGAGATTCTCTTTCAACATTCAGTTTCTTGAAGACTTGCTGTAGCCGGCTCTTACCAATCTCATTTTGCCGGAAACGTTTCAAATCGTAGGCTAGTCCCAGTTGTTCGCAGAGCCTGATAGCCCACTTGGTAATATCAGGCTGATACCATTCAATCCCATTGCGGTAGTCGGAGGGAAACTCATGGTGGAAATTGTGATACCCCTCTCCCATCGTGATGAGAGCAGTGATGAGATGATCTCGGGATGAGCGGCGGTCATCGTAGGGCTGTTCCCCAATCCAATGAGCCAATGAATTCACACAGAACGTCGCCTGGTTAACAAAAAAAGACCGAAGGATGCCTGCATAGAGGAAGCCTCCGTACCAGTCGTTCCAGCCCAGGCCAGCGACTAGGGTTGGGAACCCCCATCCCATGAAGAAAGCAGCAAGGAAGTAGTACCTATGCTGCAGCGCCACCACACAGTCATTCTGGAGATCGGATATATCCACCCTGTTGTTTTTCCGGGGCTGTTTCGTGATCACCCAGAGAATATGTGCATGCAGCAGACCCTTCTTGACATTATATGGGTCCTGATCTGTGTCAGTATATCGATGGTGGGCTCTATGTTCTCGAACCCAGAATTTGATAGAACCTTGCACCGCTCCTGCACCAAATGCTGCTAGCAGCCACTTGAGTGTTGGGGAGGCGGAGTAGGATCGATGGGCCCATAATCGGTGGTATCCTGAGAGTTATTCACGTATCAGTACTATATTATTGGTCTGAATGCTACATATACCCATACGTCGACTGCACTTGACCCGCTACTTGAGGACTCACCTGCGGTCACGGATATTGCAGTTGTAACGTAGTATATAATCGACAGTACCAGTGTTTTCCGATGCATAGGAACCCAGGGAACTTGTAGGAAGGCAACAAGAGGAATGGTTATCAGCATGGTAAAGTTGAACCAACGGACTTTATTACACCAGGACGAAAGGGTCGTTATAAAATCGTCTTGGTGTGATTGGCCTGCTGTTGGTATTTTCTCAGGCTGGGTGCTGTGTAGCCCTTCTATCACCTTAGGATTCCTCTTTCTTTCACCCATTGTGACGGTATCTGGAGTTGGGGGAAATCTCTGGAAACAGGAAGCTAGAAGCAGTTCGCTGGACACATCCTGGTGGAAGACGCCCGTTGTTAAATATATCCACAGTTTGTGGGATGCTTAGGTCGACGCATGCAGGCAACGTCATCTCTAAACTTAAATCTCGATATTTCCAAGGTCGTCTGATTGTCCTCCCTGTTTTCATTTTCGTTACTTTTTTTAATGGATACGTCCAACGACAATAGAGTGACCGATGTATATCCCATTATGCCTAACATCCGGGGAATGCGGATCCCCGGATGTATTGTGCAGAGACAAGTGTAATATTTAGGTCAATATACGGCGAGTACTTACTCGACTGGCTAAGATGTGAGCCAAGCAGGTCTGGTTGACGAGATTTCTCCAGTCAAAGAGAAGGTATGGCCACATCTCATCGCTGCCTACGGAGAAAAGGATGCCCTTTCTTGGTACTACCGATGGCAGATCTTTTTTATTGCATCTGCATATTGCACTAATTGTGAAGGTGGTCCCCTTCCTGGCAAATGAAATTGTGAGGTAGTTCCTGGTGTGACACCGTTACCAACGAGCAGCCGATGATCACCTGAACGACTGCCTCTGGATCGGAAGCTCTGTTACGGGCAAAACTGGTGTAGAACTCCAGCGATAGCACTTGAAAATCGAGGAACTGCACATCATCAGACGATTTGTTTCAAGCCGAAGGAGACCGCATACTTTCTGCGGGTCTGCGGCAAGGCCCCCTGCTATTCCTGTGGATCCATACCGCACCGTAATGGGCATAGTAGTACTTTCGACAAGGTGTCGTAGATACTGACGGAAACGACATTCTAACCCTTGTTCTATGTTAGTGGCCATTCAACCTATGCCCTCCTTTGGGGCTAGAGGCTGGGGCTGCATCAGAAGTCTTCTCCGTAACCGTAGTTTAATCGCTTCAAAAACAATGCGCGGGCCAATAAGGAAACCGACCCATCCCCATGAGAGAGCGATTCAATACTTCTCCCTTTAGCAGAGAGCAGACAGCTTGATCCCTGGTCCCTTGGAACGAATGCTCGCTACCATTTTAATCTTACCTTCGGGGGTCATCAATGAAATCCTGCTATTAAGGGGGGGTTCCCCGGATATGGTGGCCAAGTGATCTATTGTGGAAATGGAGTACTCTCCTTCCAGAGAGTTGAATGGGGAGACATAGAGCTCCTTGATGCATTTCGAGGGCACCATTGTTATTGCATCGCGCTCAATGGTTGATTTTTCTAATAGTTTTACGTGATATGCAAGACATTCTTCAAAGGTGTTGTTCACTTCAAGTACAAGACCCGTCAATGTCCGTTCCGCAGAATACGTATACCAGTAGGTTGCAGGGTTGAATGAATACCCCAAAATTTTAGGAGCGGTAAGTAAATAGACATCAGAGAAGTCTACCATCCCGTTCCAGGCACAAAAACGTACTGCCCCTCGGCCTTCTTTTCACCTCTCCATCGGACAAATGTCCCTATCCAGAGGTACGAATAGGAGAATATATACACACTGGGAGAGAGACGAGTATGCCTCAGTGTGCATGGATAAAGAGAAGTGTCACACATTCTTTTTACGTGCCTCCAAGTTCATATCATTGCCGGACAAGGATAAATAAAATAGTGGTTTGATATCGCAGATGATGGGTCCGTATATAACTAAAATGTTCATAAGCTGATCCTTGCCAGATACAAAGCTGCTAATATGTCTCCATTATGTACAATTTCATAGTTCCTGTCAAGGCGAGTGAGAGTCCATAAGTTAAGCTGCTTCCGTAATATGTGTAATTCTTCCAACCATGACCCAAGGTTAATCGATTACCATTATGAAGCCCAATGAGGGGATAGGAAACGATCAAGCAATCCTCACCGCCAGTTCCTTTACCGCTAGTTCCCTTCACAGAAAACGCAACAACCCGAGGCACTTACGGATTGGTCTCCTTGCGATGCTAGTTCAAGCACGAGCTTTACAGACTTTCTGTCAGTTGACGTTCATCGCTCGAAGCAATCATGATGCCTATGGACTTACCATTAGATTTCGGATGGATGGAATGAAAGCTACTAGTCCTACAATTTTCCTTTTCCCAATTACCTAACCGCCTAGCCCTGATAAAGCGCGCTAGTAGATAGTTGATCTTTGTGCAACTTCGAGTGCGACTTGTCTCCAATAGTCCGTGTACTGTGTTACACAATCCTTAAGGAGCCTGCGTAATCTCTTTCATTTTACGTAACTAGCACCCTGACCAGCTCCGATGTAATTGATAAGAGGGTAACACAACATATGCAAGACGCTGCATCATTCAGACACGGGACATACGTCAATGAAATTGACCTACTACAATTGACCCCAGTACTTTTGTTAGTACAGTGAGAAGGTGCAGGGATCTGAATCCTTTGTTTTCTACTGTTCATATGATTATCAATACCTCAGATGGCCATTCAGCGTTTGCATTCAAGGCTTCACCATGGCGATCTAAAGAAGGCGGTGCCGTATGGGAGATCTACCGCTTCAAGAATCCAAATCCCTGCAACTCTCCACCGTACTAACAACTCACCGGGGTCAACCAGAGTAGAAGATTTTGGGTCTCGTCCAAATTTTAATCAACGTTGCTCAGGAAGTTCTGATTCTAACCCGTAATAATCCTAAACTCAGTTTCTCTGACCACTCCTTCTTGTGAGATCACACTAGAAAATTATCTCCAAATATGGAATCCCTTCGCCAAATCATAATCGAAAAGCCCCTATCCAGCGCCAGTGAAATTCTTGAGCAGCAATTAGATGGACTTTCAGAGGCTAAGCAGTTAGATCTGCTAACAGAGTTGCTCACAATTGGTCATGAGGCCGATGAAAGAATGGCCGAAGTGATATATGCCGCCTGGTGCCACCTATGCGAGAAGGATCTCTGGTCCATTCAGTACGACACCCTAGAGCAATATAGAAGAGTCGGTGGGTACAAGGGCTGTAGCAATTATCGTCAACTTCCATGAATTGGCACGCGATCTCAGTCTAAGGGATATCGCCCACAACAATGACCTCAACAGTGACAGAAGTCAGAACCTACCAACAACACGCGGCAAGCGTTTCAGGCAATACAGACAATAATGAATTTTCCGGTCCTACAGACAGACCGGCAACCACCTTCGACGCGATAACCGATCATGCCAGCCTGCATAGAGAAGCCGAGTATCCCAGCGGCACGAAGTTCTGGCTCCTCATGCTCACCCTAGCTGCCGTTCTAATCTTAAGCAGCATAGACATGAACATCGTCGCCACAGCCGTACCTAGCATAACGGACTACTTTCACACTGTTGCAGACGTCGGATGGTATTCCTCTGCATTCAGACTCTGCCAGTGTTCCTTCCAGTTTGTTTTCTGCAAGGCGTACAAGCTCTTCTCTATCAAGACCGTCTTCTTACTTGCCAATGCCATCTCCATAGCAGGTTCGCTACTCTGCGGCGCCGCCAGTACCTCGACCATGCTGGTCGTAGGTCGGGCTATAGCTGGCCTAGGATCCGCAGGCCTTCTTTCCGGGTGCTTCATTATCCTCGTACAATCAACACCTTTACACAAACGACCCATATTCACCGGCATGATGGGCGCCATCGAAGGCCTAGCTACGCTATCCGCACCACTTCTCGGCGGAGCCATCGTGCAGTCCATTGGCTGGCGATGGTGTTTCTACATCAACGCACCTCTCGGTGCCGCTACCCTAGCACTGACCATATGTTGTTTCTCAGACCCGCCAAAATCCAGCGCCATCGCCCGCATGAGCCTCAAACAAAAGATCACGCACCTCGACCTGACAAGCAACCTCTTATTCATCCCAGCACTAACATCCCTCTTCCTAGCCTTTTCCTGGGCCGGCACCAAGTACTCCTGGACCAGCGGCCCAGTAATAGCCTCTCTGATCACCTTCACCATCCTTATGGCCGCCTTCATCTACAACCAAAAACGCCTCGGAGACGCCGCCGCCCTTCCCCTCCGCATCATGAAACACCGCAGCGTCATCGCCGGCTGCATCTTCATCATGTGCGGCAACAGCACCGGCAACGTCCTCGAATACTACCTGCCCACCTACTACCAAATCGTACGCGGATACACCCCCGCCAAAAGCGGCTACATGATGCTCCCTATCATCATCGCCGGCACCGTCGGTGCACTCATCCACGGCTTCGGAACCAGCGCTATCGGCTACTACGCCCCGTTTATGCTTTTCGCGTCGCTCATGATGCCCGTTGCCGCGGGCCTCATCACCACCTTCAAGATCAATACTAGTTTCGCGGAATTGATCATATACACTGCCTTCTCTGGCTTGGCCTACGGTATTGGTTTCTCCGGTCCGCAGAACGCTGTCCAGACGGTGTTGCCCGTGGAGGACGTGCCGCTGGGTACGTCTATCATGCTTTTCGCTCAGTCGTTTGGTCCCGCTGTGGCGATTGCTGTTGCGCAGGTCTTGTTCGTGGATCAGCTCTCGGTGAATCTGAGGGGGCTTGCGTCTGGCATTGATGGGGTGGGTATCGAGAATAGTGGTTTATCACAACTTGTGGCAGATATGTCGCCGGCTAAGACGAGGGATGTTCTCGTGGCGATTGATAGAAGTCTTATACAGACCTGGTATTTGGTGATTGGACTCGCATGTGCCACGATGGTGGGGAGTTTGATGATTGAGTGGCGGTCGGTGAAATCGAGACGCGATTAGATATCATCCAGCAATACCCTACACAACACTCTATATAAACGGATAACCTTACACTCCCTCCTCATGAAGATTGAATGCAGCCCTCCCCGGATCGCCCACCCTCCCCACCTCCAACAACACCCTCCAAACCCAAACCCCCAAATCTACCTCCCGAAAAGCCCTCCCAAACCACTCCTTCCCATTCTTTGCAATTGCCTCCGCCTCTCCCTCCCCTCCCTACTCGACGTAAAATACCTCACCACCTCCGGTACCTCCTCCATCCCCAAACTAACAGGGATGTAATGTACCCAAGGCCATAGCCTCTCGTCATGCCACTCTCTAAACAGGGTCTGTTTCAGGGGTGCTGAATTCGACACTAACAGGCTATAAAACCTCCCGCTAATACCGTTCCCATCTAGGTCATATACAAGTTTTGACTGTAGACCCTGGTCTTTATCGGCCCAAGAGTGCGGGTGGAAGAAGCGGCGTTGGGCACGGCAGGAGGAGGGTGAGCAGTTGAAGATGCGGGTGAATGAGATGGTGTAAAGACGGGTGTTGAGGAAGGTGGATCTTTGTGAAGAGACCGAGGTTGGGGTTTGGTGGAGGTAGGTGTAGTGGTGGTGTGAAGGGTTTGTGACTAGGCTAACAAAGCGTTGGCGGTGGAAGTTGTGCCAATCGTTGGTATTTCTGGCGAAGGCGCCGGTTGTAGAACCGGCCCAGTAGAGGGTGTTTTGTTTTTGATGCCATGGGATGTCTTTTTCGGGGGTGTATTGGAAGTCCGGTGCTAGGTAGGCCGGACTGGGGTAGAGGATGTCGGTCATGGTGGAGAGGGAGCCTGTGGAGAGGATTGGGAGGAGGCCTGTTATGGGGCGAAAGGAGGTTGGGCTGAGGAAGATGCCGTGTTTTGTGCAGTACTCTGGGTGGAGGCAGAGGTTTTTGGCTTGGTTTGGATCGGTGATGAATGGGAGGTTTGGGGCTTGGGCTGGGGTTTGATGGTCTTGGGTCTGGGTACTGTTGGGTTGGTAGGCGCAGGGAGCTGATATAGTATCCCATGTTGATTGTCTGGACTGATCCTTTATGCTCGGACTGGTATGGATATTGTTTGGTGGCGGGGGTATCACCCTTGGCTCATCGAGATGATTGACCAGGAAGGTAACGTCAGGGAGAGTAGCGGGTATATTTTCAAGTAAGGTATCAAATGTATCTTGAATATCTCGATCAAGCACGCGGAAATCATGCGAGCATTTTGTTTTGCGTGAGCTGCCGGAAAACGTACAGGTCCAAAGCTCATTACCGGGCAGATTTCGCGAATTTACAATGTTATCGTTGATCTCTTTTCCACTTAACTTCAATAACGGTAGTATACTGTCGTATATAGCATCGTAATCGTCAATTATCGGCGACTGATGAGCAGACGCATATAGGAACCAATCCTTGAATCCAGGTGGTGGCTCGATCTTATAACGTAGGCGATACTCGTCGCATGCAGCTGCGTATGTGCGGGATTGCTTGTGGAGAGTTTCTTCGAAGTCGAGTCTGGCTTTATCCATCAATGCTGCGATGGGGTGGTCTTCGACTTTTGTGTTGTTTATGGCATATATAGTCC